AAGACAAGTCTAGGCCGGAGTGTATTAACACTAAAAACCTAGCCCAGGCTGCACCTATAGATTCCTTCTCGTTCTGCTCAAAACCGAGGATCGCCCTTGGTAGAGAGACGATAAGAGATATAGGGAAGAATGCAAGACAAAACTTATCTTTAAGTTCACCCCAATCCCCATTCGTACTTTCTACAGCTTGAGTGTACCATTGCTTCACCTTCTCTTTGAGAGAAAAGGGAAACAATTCCCACCTTAGAGTTTTATCTATCATGCCAGAGATGCTCAGGCATGAACACATTTCCTCTAACTCTTGCAGGTGATTATAAGGGTCTTCATTATCATGCCTAGAGAAGGGTTGTGCTCGAACCATGGCTATTAAGCCAGGGTGGAGTTCACGACCAGATGAAAGAATTGGATTTGGAGAAAGTGGTGGCTCAAAGAACTTGCCCTTTGAAGCAAAAAGGTTTTGGATTGGTGTTGGCTTCATGGTGAAAAGGATAAAAGGAATATCTATTTTGTTTTTATGAAAAGTAAAGATACAAGATACGAGGACAAACTAGATTCGAAGATAATACAACAACCGTTCCCCGAAAACTATGCTAGAAATGCTTGTGGGTATTTCCTAACACAAACAGAAAGAATCCGCAAGCGCACGAAATTACCGTTGTAGCACTTCACCCGGAAGTATTCAGGGTATCGTACTTTCCATAGGGAACGGAGGTACTCTTCTAGCTAGTTCGTCCAAGGACAACACAAAGATAGAGTTGGCGAGGGTAGAGATGGATTTCTATGGTCTTAGGGTCTATGGATAGATAAACTCTACTTCTACTTTCTTACTTCGGGCACCAGAGATCACCTGGTCTGCCAAGCGATGTCGTCCTGTAGCTCTACGCCAAACCCGAACATGGGGAATTACAAGGGATGGACAGGGCTATCACCACCTGCCGCCTACCCCTCAAACGTGGGGCATGAGGCAAACGAAGGTAGCCTCTAGCCTAGACACCATGTTTACGCTATTGACTACTACTCTAGCTTCGTACATGGTTCTCCGTATCTAGCAGGAGTCCCCTACTAGAGTATCCGCTATGAGAACGGACAACAAACCCGCAAGCAAATAAGAGTAAAGCTTAACTAATCAAAAGTCTTTATACCATAAGAATCATGAACACTCACTTAGCGGAAGAATCCGTTGAGGTACATGTGTTCATCAAGGTACAAGTGGGGGAAGACTACCGACAAGTCTGGCACTTCCCCGTACTCTCCCTCACATCTCTCCCTACTACTCAACTCTAGATAGATAGCTTATGCCTAAGCCCTTGGAGTGATGCTCAAGTGTGGTGGGCTCCTTCCTTGGTGTGTTGTGTTGTGAGGAGAGGGGAGGCCTCCTTTTATAGTGGAGAGGGGAGTGAATATGCATGGCATATTCCTCATTTAGTATAGATACCGCCTCCCTTGCATTGAATGTACCGCCATACACCCACAACCGATGTTCAGGAGTGAAGAGGAGGGCCGCCCCCTGGTGTTGCCTCCCCGCAACCGCCTTCACCTAGTGGATTCCATGCTGGGCCTAGGCTGCGTTCCCGTGCGCTTGAGGCCCATAATCTTCAGGTAGGTGGGCCTTTCCTTCAGTGCTTGACAAGTCTACGTTACGCTTTGTCCTTTTGCGCCTTTTGAGTGTATTCTCTGTGGTTTCCGCAAATGCCCTTCTATAAATGATGAATCACTAAAACTTGTAAAACTTGTTAGTTATAAGTCCTAATTCTACGTTTGGTGTTCATTTGAGCAGATTTTATGTGAGAGTTGGCGGTTAGAAATGAGAGTTAAGGACCGCCAACAATGCATATACATGAATGACATCACCTAGTGGCACTTGATAACTGCATTTACCATGATTTCCCCCTCTTCATAGTACAACTATCTATCCTAAATGTGATCACACTCTATAGTGTCTTGATCGCCAAAACAAAGAGGATGCTGCTGTAGCGAAGGGAGAAGTGGCTGAGCACGGGACAGAGCCGCGATTGAGTCACCGCCGAGTGGCGGACTGATTCGTCGCACCTGCGCACTATGTGGCCACTGACGGGGGAGGGAAGGAGAGATACTGCAGCTAGGGTTTGGTCCCCTTCCTTATATACATGAGGGGTTAAGATGGGCTTTTGGGCCAGATTTGGTTAACACAGGCAGACCTCTTTAGAAGTCCGCCTTCAAAAATGGACTCTATTTTTAGAGGCGGTCCTCCACTAATCGGTTTTAGGTGGCGGGCATTTTATCTTCGCTATGTTCTATGGAGGAAGAATTCCTCCAACCGATGTTCTTTCAGTGGATACTAGATCTCGTTGTCAGCAGCGAGTGGATTTTGCGGTCTTCAAAGCCATGTTTGGCGAGGGTGTTTGTAGGTGATCCTTTTCTTTGCTGTCTTTGCTGTGCGATCTTCAAGCTCCGGCAGGTTGTGGACGTCTGAAAGAGGAAGAAGACCGATTTGGTCTTTGATGTACTCTTATATTTTAGAGGTTGTTTTGTGTCTTTTTGTCCATCGTTTGTAGTAGCCTTTGTTTTCCTTGAGATATATCAGATCTGAAACACTCTTTTGAGTGTTTTTTATTAAAAAAACAGCCGCCTCCGAAAATTGTTAGGTATTTTGGGAGACACGTACATTTTATGACCGCCTCTGTTAATAAATTAGCTGTCTCCTAAAATATTTTTTTAGTAGTGATCAGCAAAATCCAGCGGATATGGATTATCCGATGTTTAAAATAGGATACCCGATAGTTTCTCTCCCTAGACTAAAAACAAAAATAATTCATGATAAAGAAAAGCTTGTTAGTTGAAAAATCTTATTTTGTGATGCGGTTGTTTTATATGTGCTAAATTTTGAAGTGAGAGCTTGTTGCCTAATAACTTATCATTTGTAAGTGTGTATACCGTGGTAAGCTAACTGTGTTGGTGTGATAGCCATAAAATGAACAACAATGCAAGTTTTTTGTGTACTAGTTGATATTACCTCTTTAATAAATTAATTTTTGACAAGCATATAACTTCCTACATATACACATATTACTCTACTATTGGAATCTGTCTCCGATCCGATTTTGCTCCATCTCCGTACCATTTTCTCGACATCCAAAAAGTATGCATTTGCATTTAATTTGCTCTGAATCCGATAAAGAAAAGCAGACTAGGATATGGAATAGACTTTATCTGCTCTGATCCAATTAATTCATTTTCATCCCTAGTTTGACATGGCAGCATTAGTATCTTTACATGGAATAGTCAGCATTTTAATGATGATTCGTGCTTCAAGTCTTTCTTCATTGGTTGAGCTATTTATAGTTACTTTGTAAATTGTCGCACTCACAAATCAAAACCCTTCTAATGAAACCAAACAACATTTATGGTTTCAACAGCTAAATTAAATTTATGGTTGGCTAATAATGCGTTCATGAGAACAAATGATTCTATAGGGTTAGACACATGTTTCAACGGGCATATAGTAGAAATCACTAAGGCCAATCTTACTGTATTGTTTCATTTTGTTGTTTCGGATGAAAACGGTACGGAAATATTCCGAACCGACCGCTTTCGTTTTCTATATTATGATACCGTTTTCTATATTATGATATCGTTTCCGAATTTTGCCAAACATAAAAATTTATCATTTTCAATTGGTTTCACAACCATTTTTTGTACTCTATAATTGCTAAAATGTCGAAATATCCCGAACCGACCGCTTTCGTTTTCTATATTGTAATACCGTTTTCAACCGTTTTCATCCCTATTTCCAAGTAATATGACATCAGTAAATAATATTTGATCCATGGTCGAAATAACCTTCTGCAGTGCATGGTTTCAATTTTTGTGTTTAATATGCACTCATTGCATTTAATTCTATAACACATTCGGACTTGAAACAATGTCTAGGGGTTTGATCTAGATGAAACTTGTTTCGTCTCTCTCTTCTTTAATCCTATCTCATGTCATCAAATTTGCTTAGGTGACATCCTATTAAACGAGAATGAAAAACTATCATTAAGAGTGGCCTAAGACAACATAGATAAATCACTTGATCTAGTCAAGACTAGACTATGTAACCTATTAACATATGCTCTAGATTAAACCAATTTTGAGCAATCATATTTGAGAACTCCTCCAATATTGGAGCAGAACTCATCATATTTTTCTAATGAAAAATATTCATGGTACTGTACAAGTGGATTAATTGCGAGCAACATTGATAGTAAAACAGCCAGGCAACAAGTCAACTTATCATGAAAATACACCGTGTCACATCAAGCATAGTACACAAAAATGAGTTGCACCTCCTTCTCTCTACCATGAATCCCAGAGTATATCTCCACGAAAACCGAAGTTCATTACAGGATTGTCAGGAAAACCCAATCCAGGGATCCCTGGGTTCATCTCAGGGCTGCCAAAGCTGAGGTCGTACCCGTCCATGCTGTCGTCTGGTAGCCTCAGCGTCTGCAGCCTGGCACACATAACGCGCGTCTCATCGTTCATCTCGACGTTGAAACAGTGGCGGATGTCGAGGGATTCCAGACGCGCGCAGCCTCCGAGGATAGCCGCGAGGCCGACGTTGCTGAGGCTGTTGCCGAAGAGCTGCAGGCACCGGAGGTCGCGCATCTTGGCGATCTCCATGGCTTCGCTGTCGCCGACGCCTGACCGCCGGTGGAAGCGGTACTTGCTCAGCCGGAGCCGCTTCAGGAGCGGGCAGGCCTTGGCCGCGGCCGTGCATGTCTCGGCGAGGCTGTAGTGGCCCGAGGCGGTGGCGGCGCCTGAGCAGAGTGACAGCTCTAGCTCCTCGAGCATGGGGAGCCTCGATATTGCTCCGTTGAGGACCTGCGTCGAGATGTTGCAGGAGATGAGGCGGAGGCTCTTCAGTTTGGGGGCCCTGCAGGTGCAACAATGGATCATTGAGTTCTTAGCTGATTGGTTATTGGTGAAGCAGCAAGAAATCAAACGTGAATTGAGCTGGTGCCGCGACGAATCCTCACCGACGACTGAGGAAGACGATGAAGGTGTCGTCGACGAAGTCCTTGGCCCAGAAGGCCTCGCACCGTCCCGCGCTATGCATCACGGCAACGTGCGCCATCGCGTCTAGGTGGACGATGGGCGTGGAGAGCGCGGCACGGCGGCGCAGGTCGATGCGGCGCCACAGCTCGGGCTCGTCCCGCGCCGCGCGGCGCCAGGGGCGGCACACCTGCCCGGCCCCCGTGAGCACGTCTTCATGGTGCAGCCTATGGAGCACGGCCAGCAACGCGTCCCTCGGCAGCTCCGCCCAGTCCCTCGCCTCCTCGTTCGCTTCCATCTCCGTCTCTGTGGCTTCCACAGGCGCCGAATGCCGGTGATGCTAGCTACATACTCTCAGATTCAGGATTTAAGGCAGGGTGAAAATCCAGGAAGTCGTTGCTGTCGTGGCATGGGGTGAGCAGCGCGTGCACGCCATCGCTCGCACCCAATTGGCTGCAGCCGGTAGCCGGCCAATCGCCATCCTATTGCATTGCAGTATTCCATTTCGCCGTGATTATTACGGTGTTTGATCTCTCATTATCCATCTCGTCAGAAAAATGGCATCTCTTTGACTTTAGGTTCTAATTACCGGGTTTGTCTGCAAACCGTGTGGAACTGCAGTCACCAATAGATTTGCCACCTAAGAACAATGCTTTATTTTAGAGAGTTTTACCATCGCGCCACAAAGATGTTTGACATTTTATATCTGCTACTAAAAAGGTCGTGGCGCCTAACATGCCACCGAGTAAAATTTCTCGTGCCCTACGTGCCATGCCGTGAGAATGTGATCGAGCTGATGATTGTTAACCGATGTGTGAAAGGAAGGTCTTAATTAACCTTGGCACCAACCGGGCTCGGAAGTGCCAAAACAGCCAGCACAAATAGGAGCCTGCTGCTCTCCCTCCTCCTCCCCCCCTCCTCCCCCCCAATCTCTCTCTCTTGTCCACCAATCTCATATGCTCTCCCTCTCCGTACTACTCTCGATCGGCCACCTAACCTGTTTTTTATACTTTTTGGGTATCGATTTTTATTGGTCAAACCCCCTATCTGTTTTAGTGTTTTTTGATCCGCCATTGCTTGCAACCTCAACAATGGCTTCTATGTTGAACACACGTTGATAATTAGCAGGAAGGTAGCCATTATCTATCTACAGTTCCTCTCCTCTTAGTACGAAAACGGACATGCAGCTCCATTTCATTGCAACCAAATGCAATATCCATTGCTGACAATAACACAATGGGAATGAAAATTGCAACTACAATTAGTACAATCTTAGCTCATAACTCACCTCGTAAGCAGGGCAGAGGTAAAAAGAAGTGGTCGTCATTCACATGTGATGCTTGCAATGCCTTGACTATCCTACAGTTACTCTTCCTCTGGGTCGGCTTGGATGAACTACAACTCATCTCCATGGTCCATGCTAGAAACATAATTAAAAAAAAAGGATCCAAATGAAGGACTAGAGACTAGAAGAGAAAAGGTGAATCGGAGAGTACGGTCGACGAATGAGAAAGAGGGGCTTTGAATGACGACAATCAGAAATGAGGAGCTATTGGCAGTGGCGAATCGACCATGTGAAATTTTTGCATTTTGGTCCCTTTTGAAAATATTTTTTACAAAAAGATCTATGCCAAAACGTTTGCTGAAAATAGACCATTTTTAGGCGTCATAGAACATGACGCCAAGGTATGAGGGTTGGCGTCGACTAACACGACGCCGAGGTCTTGCCACGTCACGGACGACCCCGGTCGATGGTGACACGGTGGCGCATGGGGTCCGACACGTCGGCGTTGTGTCAGCCAACGCCACAGGCCCAACCTCGGCGCGGTGGGACTACACGCAGAGATATTGGCACCATCTGGCGCGTGGCCCAGGCGGCCCAGCAACGCTTCGTGGCCCAATAGCTTGGCGCTGGGTCACTTAACGCCGAGCCACCAGACTCGGCGCGGCCCGACTCAACGCCGAGGTCTGGACTCTTGAAGCCGCGCCGCGGCCCCCTTCTTCTTCCTCCCTCCATTCTGAAAGCGCCGGCAGGCTCCCTTCTTCTCCCCCACGGCCCCCACGAAACCCTAGCCCCCAAATGCGACCCTAGGTGCCCGGATCTTGTCTCCCGAAGCTTCCTCGAGGTAATGGTCCCTCCCCTCCTCCAATCTATCCGCGTAGATGTGCTTGCATTGTCTCTAATCATGTGGAATCATGGGTGTATGGTGTTTTGGTATATGTGTATTTGCATTTGCAAAATGTATGGCTAAGGTTGATTGAGTGCATTGTTGTTTAACTGTTTTATGTGCTGAACATGTTAGGTTAGTTTGGTTTCTAGTTATTTTGGTCATTAGGGTTCTTTGTTTATTGTAGGTGTCATTAGGGTTAGTTATTTGTTGGTCATTAGGGTTAGTATGTATTTTAGTTATTTGTTGGTCATTAGATTTTAATTTTTTATGACTTGAACGTTTTGCCAAGGTACTCCTCTTTCCCCTCTTTCATTTCATCCATTTAGATTCGGTTGTTTGTGTTTTTTTTTAACTTGGCATTATAGGTTTGGTTCATGTTCATGTCATTCGTGCAATGTATGGTGGTTCAAATGATTGAATGACCAAAATGTATGGTTGTTGTTGTTGTTGTATATGTTCTGGTTTATAATCATTGAGTTAAATTTTGTATTTGTTGGGATTCAAATTTGCTTAGGGTTTGTAATGAAAAGCTTATTTGGGAGGTATGGTGATTTAGCGTTAGTAGCTTTACATTCATTGCAAGGTACATTGGATTGTTTTTTTTCTACGTAATGTTAGGATGCCAAGGCGTGGTAAAGCTCGTATTCCAAGGTAATTCCAATGTTTATTCATTATTTGTGCAACAAATAGAAAACCCTAGGTTTAGGTTTGGTTCTCCGTTAATATGACTAAATTCTTTCAATTGTAGCTATGGTCGCCAGAGGGCAAATCCCTACGACCTAAAGCCTCTCCCTGAAGGTGTTCCTCGACCCATGTGCTTTTGTGGTGATCCTTGCAAGGTAGACATCTCTGAAGATGAGGAAACATATAGACAGAGGTACTGGATGTGTCCCAATTATGCATGGGAACCTACAATTTATTGTGTGTTAATTAATTTTCTTGTGATATTAAGTATTGCTTATTTATTTGTTTTGTAACAATTTGTTTTTCTTGCAGACCGTTCCACCACTGTGTGACTTTGAGCAGTGGATTGACACTGAGATCAAGGAGTCGGACAAGCAGCATCTAGAAGGCCTGAAGGAGTGGGATGCGGAGGTTAAGGAGAGGTTTGAGCAGAGACGCAGACAGGAGGCTATAGAAAAGGAGCATAAGGAAGAGGAGGAAAGGAGGCGTGTTGCTACGTACAGGGCGGAGAGGGAGAAGAAGCTTGAGCGTGTGCGCCGAGCGAAGGCAGTGATGGAGGAGAATCCCGATGCCCAAAGGAAGGGAAAGTGGCCTCATTGCACTCAGTAGGTATTTGGTTTATTCATGAGCGATATCGTGTAGCTCTGGACTTTTTTTACTATGTTGTAATGCACTCTGCTTTTATTTCAGATGAACTTATTCCCTGGACTTTTTTTTATTATGTTGTAATGCACTATGCTTTTATTTCAGATGGTCTTATGCCCTGTACTTCGTTAACTATCCTAGGACTGTAGTGCTACTGTTTGTATCACTGAAAAGGCTACTTGTGCTGTTGCAGTCACTGAAAGGGCTACAAGTACTGTTGCAATCAATGAAAAGTCTATTTGAAAACTCACTAAAAAGCCTAGATTTGTTTACTGTTGTATCCGTATACGCAATGAATTAATATCAGAGTGATGTACTGCATTTAGATGAAATGACAAAACACAGGTGTAGCCATTTCAGATGAAATGACTAGTCATGGTTGTAGGCTTTTCAGATGAAGCATCTAGCCTTTGCAGATTCAATAAATGAGTACGCACACAAGTTTTTTGTCAAGTAGCATTCATGGTGAACCTGCCTTCATCTCTATATATAGTGCTCCATGTCTTGCTCCACATCCACACAACTTGTTTTCTGGTTTAGTTTTAGCAAATGTCGAGCGGAGGTTCCTCGAGTGGAAAGGGTTTCGGTGGAGGGAGAGGAAAGGAGGTGAGGAAGGGACCTCCGATTGTGTGGGAGGGTTCTCTAGGTCCTGATTCTTTTGAAGAACCAATAGAGGAATTTCCTTTGGAGAGGAAGAGTGACTTCACCCGTGAGAGACCTCTTAGATCATACGACAAGCGCATTGAAGATTGGCCAAAATGCCGCCACGGTTTGGATTGCGTTGTGCAGATGTACAACGACTGTGACGGTGGAGGCCGTCGTTTCTTCAGATGCCTGCGAGGATTTGTATTTCCTTTGAACTCTCTCCTTTTTAGATTTGCATTTGGTTTGTAGTAGTACTTATTGGTAGATGGGTTTTCAGGATTCAACCTGTCTAGATAACTGTGGCTTCACTAGATGGGTCGACCCTCCTCCTATCTATCCCCATCAACAGTACATCACATATCTACAGGGACGCATCTTTGACCTAGAGTATGGCCCTGGAAGTGGTAACAGGGATAAGTCGGACGACGACAACAGCAATGATGCAGAGGAGGCACTATTCAATAATCCGTACTGCCAGTGCCCGTACCATAAGAAGCACGGGCCTCCTTCTCCACCGCCACCGCCACCGCCGCCGTCAACTGGAGGATACTATGGGGAAGGCGCAACTCTGTCCAATATGTGGGAGCATTATTAGGACCAACCTTTGTTAGTCAATCCGAATGTGGAATGCTTGTATGAGTTGTTCTTTTCAATCTCCTAAGGCATGCTAGGTTTAGTTTGCAACATGCCATTGTTAGTTTTCATGTGAGTGTGTAATCGTAGTATCTTTGCAATGTCTGTATCATTTGTTTCTTTCAATCCCCTAAGGCATGCTAGGTTTAGTTTGCGACATGCCATTGTTAGTTTTGATGTGAGTGTAATCGTTGTGCATTCGCTATTTCATAAATTGCAGTTTACCATGTACTATGGTTGATTCCCAAACTAAAAAAAGATTTGACTCTCTCTAAAAATAGGGGATTGAAATCGAACCAACCTTCAGTTTTTCCTGCAGGAACAAACATAAATATAGCATGTCTACTCTTATTAGTATAACTCGTGTTAGTAGAAGAGGAATCGTTGAGAAAGATTTTTCATTTGAATCATGCAAATAGGATTTCAACCTATACCAAAGGTTTAGAAGACCTCTGTCTTTAATACTTTATTCTTTATTTTTTATGATTTATAGGCTCGGCGTCAAGTCGGACGACACCGA